GACTTCTTCTGCAGAACTATGCCATGGATATTGATCATATTTGGTCGGAAGTATTCATGGGAGGCAGGGATTCAAAATTGTACAAATGGTGGGGCTGACCCCCCGGGCTAAGGGGTGGGGCCAATAAAATGCATTACTTGGAAATGGTTGAGATCCCCACCATATAACCATATATACAATTGCTGAGTATAAAGAGAAGAATGCACATTTGCTTCAAGGATGTCCCTAGGGTCTGGCCCCACCCTTGGAGACATAGTCCCTGGGCCATATCTTTAAAACGGTTGAGATCCCCACCCCAAAACTTATATACAAATGCTGGACATAAAGAGACAAATGCAATCATGATATCAGAATTGACCCTGGGGTCTGTCCGAACCCCTAGGGACCTAGTTTCTTAGTCACAGCTTGGAAACAGTTGAGAGCCCCACCCTATAACCGTATATATACATTTGCTGAGTATAAATAGATGATTGTACATATGCTTCCAGGTTAGCCTTTGGGACTGCCCCACCCTTGGAGACTTAACCCCTGGGTCATAACTTTGAAATGGTTAATATCCCCACCCCAAAACTATATATACAAATGCTTGGCAAAAAGAGACAAATGCAGTCACGATATTAGAATCGATCCTGGGATCTGGCCACAACTCTAGGGACCTAGTTTCTGAGCCAAAGCTTAGAAACAGTTGAGATCCCCACCCCATAGCCATACATAAAATTGCTGGGCATGAAAAAACTAATATAGCTATGCTACAAGGATTGGCCTTGGGGTCTGGCATATACCCTTCATCTCATTTGGAGAATAGTTTGCCATGATTGCTCAGGTATCCAGGTGAGCGATACAGGCCCTCTGGGCCTCTTGTCTTACATGTTGTTTTGACATTTGTTTATTAGTATGTCTATAAGCTTTCAATACAATTTAAAACCTAAACCCATTCATCCCTGAACTTTCATAATGAACTATTCTTATCTTTGAGTTAATATAATGCACATCATTTCAATTGCCACTTTGCTAATACCAGTGCACTTAAGTGTACCATTGTCTTGTTAGCTGTTCCTTAACTCATTCACCCCTAAAGACACATTTGAACTCTTCCGATTCCAATGTTGGAAAAGTTTATTATGAAATTTCAGGGTGAATGAGTTAATACATTCCGTTATATCAC